CCCCCCCCCCCCAGTAAAACCAAAGGAGGGCTCCCACTTTCTTATTTCATAACTTTTCACCCGATCATATTTGTAGATTTCCTGTTGAATAGATTTATTTATATTATTGTTAATTTTTGTTGATGCAAATAAATACTGCCTTCAACTTTAGAAAAACAGTCTTTGACTAAAGTTGGAGAAATTAAACCTCCTTAGACTTTCCTTCGCTGCCTTGAGCCAAGAACATGCTCCTCCTCTTCCTCATCATCATCTTCCTCATCCTCCTCTTCCTCAGACTCCTCCTCCTCCTCCTCATCAATCTGAGCTCCTCCACATCCTCTCCAGCTTTCTCTCTTTTCTATCTGCAGTTCATCCTTTTGTCTGACGGTGGCGCAAGTTGACCGACTTTTCTGTGAAGATGTTAAAAATAAAATGAGGTCTCACTCTGATCTATTTTCCTTCTACCAGAGGAAGCTAATTTATCCGGATAAACGAAGACATCAGAGATTGCTTTATTTTTATCCACAACAAAACCAGAGAGAATAAATTAGAATAGAAAACTATTTTTAAGGTTTATGCCAAATAATGTCAAAGTTGAATCTAGAGTGAATCTAATGAAAGGGGCGGAGCTCTGTCTGCAGCGTCACAGCAGGCTGACCGGCAGCGGAGGACAGTTTAAACTCAGCCGGTGTCACCCGGATGGTAAACAGGCTGCAGGGAAGAAGCCAGCGGGGCAGGCCGCACAGCTGACCGGCTGTCCCCTCCTGTCCGCCGCGGCGGATCATGAAGGTTAACCGCCTCCTTTCTGCTAAACACTGAAGATGCGGAAAGACGTGAGGATCCTGCTGGTTGGGGAGCGTAAGATAAGCTCGGTTTATTCCTGCAGTCAGACTTTAAATAACACTGATGCTCCCTGCATGATGATGATGATGGTGGTGATGATGGTGGTGATGATGATGATGATGATGATGATGATGATGATGATGGTGATGGTGATGATGATGATGATGATGGTGGTGGTGGTGATGATGATGATGGTGATGATGGTGGTGATGGTGATGATGATGATGGTGATGATGATGGTGGTGATGATGATGATGATGATGATGGTGGTGATGATGGTGGTGATGATGATGGTGGTGATGATGATGATGATGATGGTGATGATGGTGGTGATGATGGTGGTGATGATGATGGTGGTGATGATGATGATGATGATGATGATGATGATGGTGATGATGATGATGATGATGGTGATGATGACGATGGTGGTGGTGATGATGGTGATGATGGTGGTGATGATGGTGGTGATGATGATGATGATGATGGTGATGATGATGGTGATGATGGTGGTGATGATGATGATGGTGGTGATGATGGTGATGGTGATTTTGATGGTGATGATGATGATGATGATGATGATGATGGTGGTGATGATGATGGTGGTGATGATGATGATGATGATGATGATGATGGTGATGATGATGATGATGATGATGATGGTGGTGATGATGATGGTGGTGATGATGATGATGATGATGATGATGATGATGATGGTGATGATGATGATGATGATGGTGATGATGACGATGGTGGTGGTGATGATGGTGATGATGGTGGTGATGATGGTGGTGATGATGATGATGATGATGGTGGTGATGATGATGATGATGATGGTGATGATGATGGTGATGATGGTGGTGATGATGATGATGGTGGTGATGATGGTGATGGTGATTTTGATGGATTCCATGTACAATGTACCTATTATATTATATTTGAATTGTTGCTGTGTGTCTTAAAGTCGCAGGTAAATAATATTTAAATGTCAAATCATTCTGGCTTAAACATGTATATAAATGTTCTCTTTATCAGACAATATTCTCCCAAAAGTTATAACATTTCTATTTCTAAAAAAATTCTGTCTTAAAATCTGTTTTTTTCCGTTATCTCCTGCAGGCCAGTTAGTTCTACGTCAGCCTGAACACCTAAATTCGGCCAATCATATATCAACGCTCATCTGTCAATCAAAGGTTTTGGGTCATAGCATCTTGATTCATGTGTCGCAGCTAATATACGCAGCGGTTGAAACCAGAATCCTTTCCTTTCCCATTGGGTTGCGTCCCAGTGTTCACGGGGATGGACGTCTGTGTCTTCGGCAGGCGTAGAGCTAACAGAACTGGCAGCGTTGCGAGGCAAGGGCTCAAACATGTACGGCTGGAAGCCTTCTACACCAAACCAAGCTTCTGCCGCCCTGGCGTCCTCTTCCACAACATCTTCGTCCCCGCTTTCCTCCTCTAAATAAAAAATGGATGACGGAGGAGACTCATCCACGACCTCCGACACTAAACTCTCCTCCTCTTGCATGTTTCCGCTGTCCATAGCGTTCCTTGACAGCGTCGTTTCTAAGTCACCAATTTAGTGCTACTTGGTCCCAATGGAATTTCCAATTGGGAACCTGCTAGCACTAAGATGCTAACTGGTTAGCAAGATGCTTTCAACAAACCGGCCACAACCAAACTCGCTTATGAACCTTCCGCCACATCAATCCCGCCCCCTTGATAATCGACCAATCACATTCACTTTATTCAATTTCAATTCAATTCAGTTTATTTATATAGCGCCAAATTCACAACACATGTCATCTCAAGGCACTTTACAGTTCAACCAGATCATACAGTCAAATTGATACAAAGTTTTCTATCTAAGGAAAACCAGTTGATTGCATTGACTCATTGACTCAAATACAATCCCCCACACTAAGCATGCTTGTAGCGACAGTGGAGAGGAAAAACTCCCTTTTAACAGGAAGAAACCTCCAGCAGAACCAGGCTCAGTGTGAGCGGCCATCTGCTGAGGCCGACTGGGGTTCAAGGAGACAGAAGCAGAGATACAAAAAGCAGCTGTAAAAGGCGGCCCCGTCCAGGAAACACACAGCCAGGCAGACGAGCTCCAAGGCAGCTCCCATGCCAGAGGACGAAGAGAGCACATCCACTCAGTCACGGTCAGAGAAACAGGACCACACTGGAAAACAGGCCGATCTCCAACATCTATTAACAAGGGTGTTGATAGAAGCAGCACAGCTGATGTTTCTTTCCAGGATGACGTCACAGCCAAACAGGAACAGACGAGGCAAAGCTACTCTGAGGAAAAGCAGAGAGAGCAGAAGGTTAGAGATTGAACTAACAGATTCTGCAGAATAGGAGAACAGAGAGAGAATGAAGCAGAATGATGAAATGCGGGTCCCTATGTCCTCCAAAAGTCTAAGCCTATAGCAGCATAACTATAGAGATAGCTCAGGATAACCTGAGCCACCCTAACTATAAGCTTTATCAAAAATGAAAGTTTTAAGCCTAGCCTTAAAAGTAGACAGGGTGTCTGCCTCACGGACTAAAACTGGTAGTTGGTTCCACAGGAGAGGAGCCTGATAACTAAAAGATCTGCCTCCCATTCTACTTTTAGAAATTCTAGGAACCACTAGTAAACCTGCAGATTGAGAGCGAAGTGCTCTGTTAGGAACATAAGGAACAATCAGATCTCTGATATAAGATGGAGCTTGGCCATTTAAGGCTTTATATGTGAGAAGGAGGATTTTAAATTCTATTCTGGATTTAACAGGAAGCCAATGAAGAGAAGCCAGGATAGGCGAGATATGATCTCTCTTTTTAATTTTCATTAGAACTCTGGCTGCAGCATTTTGGATCAGCTGAAGGCTTTTAACTACAGTTTGTGGACTTCCTGATAGTAAAGAATTACAATAGTCCAGCCTTGAAGTAACAAATGCATGGACTAGTTTCTCAGCATCACCCCTGGACAGGATATTTCTAATTTTTGCAATGTTCCTCAGATGAAAGAAGGAAATTCTAGAAACCTCTTTGATATGGGATTTAAATGACACTCGTGTAAAGTCGGGCACCACTCGGGAGAATTGGGAAATGCACGTTTGGAGCAGCCGCTTCCTTATGACTTTAATTCAAGGGGTCATAAGAGGGGCCAGTTGTTCAGGCGCATTGGCCCCTGTTGGCTCCTGTTGGCTCCTGTTGGCCCCTGTTGGCCCCGTCTAGAACAGCCCATGATTTAACATTTTCCCTTCATGATTTTTTTCTATCAATTATAGGATGAAGGACCATTTTTTATTTTTATGGTTCAGCTTTCTAAATGTAAAGCGGGACTTTGAGTGGAATGATCAAATCATGTTTGGAATAGGAATTTTAATGTACCTGTGAGCAATAAGATAACCAAGCTTGAGTCTCCTCTCCCAGCCAAGGTGGGGAAGACGTCCCTCATCATGTCCCTGGTCAGCGAAGAATTCCCAGATGTGGTACGAGCTTTCCCAGTTTGCTTCTTCCTGACTGATGGACGGACGCCTGCTGAGCAGGAATGTGTTTTCTGTTTGGTTCAGGTTCCCTATCGAGTGGAGGAGATCACCATACCAGCAGATGTCACACCTGAGAGGGTTCCTACGCACATCGTGGACTATTCAGGTAAACAGTCAGACGGTAAACAGCCAGCCATATTCTAATTAACCTGATGAGATTAAATCTGTTTAACATAGATCTATGTCACTTTTAAAAAGATTTTTCTCTACCAAAGAAAAAGTCATTTTTTCTATCATGTTCACCTCCATGACATGAACCCCTAATGATCCAAGTCTGTGTGCTTCCACATGTGAAGGGTGTGAACACTTTGTGCTCCTTCTGCAGAAGCAGAGCAGACAGATGAGCAGCTGTTCCAGGAGATCTCTAAGGTGGGTCTGTCAATGAACCGTGGCTCAGCAAGTGTTAGCCCGTCGCTGGAAGCCTGACGGCCGTCTGTGCTGCTCTCTCCTGCAGGCAAATGTGATTTGCATCGTCTACTCCGTCAACAACAGGACGTCCATGGAGAAGGCGAGCCTCCTCTGCTTTCCATCATTTGTTTATATATCATTTCATCTCTGCGGCGCATGAGGCCTTCTGAGGGAACCAGCAGCTGTTCCCTAAAAGGTTGGAAATAATGAAATGTGTCGTTATCTGTCGTCTTCCAGGTGACGGAGCACTGGATCCCTCTGATCACAGAGAACACAGACAAGGACAGCAGGTGTGTCCGTTCAAACCGTGAGGAGGAGGAGGGGTTTCAATAGTTTGGTGACCTGAATGTCTATGTGTCCTCAGGGTTCCTCTGATCCTTGTGGGGAACAAGTCAGACCTGGTGGAACACAGCAGCATGGAGACCATTCTGCCTATTATGAACCAGTACAGTGAGATAGAGACGTGTGTAGAGGTGAGAAAGTATCTCTGCAGAGACACCATAAGATTCCCCCGCCTGCAGCAACATTTGCAGTTATTGGCATCACTGCTGCTGATGAGAGCAGAGGATGAATGAGAGCAGATCCAATTAGTGCCGGTAGAAGTCGAGAGAAACAGGCCCGAACACTGAGGAAAAACAGGCCTCAACACTGAGGAAAAACAGGCCTGAACACTGAGAAACAGGCCCAAACACTGAGGAAAAACAGGCCCGAACACTGAGAAACAGGCCAAACACTGAGAAACAGGCCCGAACACTGAGGAAAAACAGGCCTGAACACTGAGAAACAGGCCAAACACTGAGAAACAGGCCCGAACACTGAGAAACAGGCCCAAACACTGAGAAACAGGCCCAAACACTGAGGAAAAACAGGCCTGAACACTGAGGAAAAACAGGCCTGAACACTGAGAAACAGGCCCGAACACTGAGAAACAGGCCAAACACTGAGAAACAGGCCCAAACACTGAGGAAAAACAGGCCTGAACACTGAGAAACAGGCCAAACACTGAGAAACAGGCCCAAACACTGAGAAACAGGCCCGAACACTGAGAAACAGGCCAAACACTGAGAAACACGCCCGAACACTGAGAAACAGGCCCGAACACTGAGAACCAGGCCAAACACTGAGAAACAGGCCCAAACACTGAGAAACAGGCCTGAACACTGAGAAACAGGCCAAACACTGAGAAACAGGCCCAAACACTGAGAAATAGGCCTGAACACTGAGAAACAGGCCAAACACTGAGAAACAGGCCCGAACACTGAGAAACAGGCCCGAACACTGAGAAACAGGCCCGAACACTGAGAAACAGGCCAAACACTGAGAAACAGGCCCGAACACTGAGAAATAGGCCTGAACACTGAGAAACAGGCCAAACACTGAGAAACAGGCCCGAACACTGAGAAACAGGCCCGAACACTGAGAAACAGGCCAAACACTGAGAAACAGGCCCGAACACTGAGAAACAGGCCAAACACTGAGAAACAGGCCCAAACACTGAGAAATAGGCCTGAACACTGAGAAACAGGCCAAACACTGAGAAACAGGCCCGAACACTGAGAAACAGGCCCGAACACTGAGAAACAGGCCAAACACTGAGAAACAGGCCAAACACTGAGAAACAGGCCCGAACACTGAGAAACAGGCCCGAACACTGAGAAACAGGCCCGAACACTGAGAAACAGGCCAAACACTGAGAAACAGGCCCGAACACTGAGAAACAGGCCCGAACACTGAGAAACAGGCCAAACACTGAAAAACAGGCCCAAACACTGAGAAACAGGCCCAAACACTGAGAAACAGGCCCGAACACTGAGAAACAGGCCAAACACTGAGAAACAGGCCCGAACACTGAGAAACAGGCCAAACACTGAGAAACCAGCCCGAACACTGAGAAACAGGCCCGAACACTGAGAAACAGGCCCGAACACTGAGGAAAAACAGGCCCGAACACTGAGAAACAGGCCAAACACTGAGAAACAGGCCCGAACACTGAGAAACAGGCCAAACACTGAGAAACAGGCCGGAACACTGAGAAACAGGCCCGAACACTGAGAAACAAGCCCGAACACTGAGAAACAGATCAAACACTGAGAAACAGGCCAAACACTGAGAAACAGGCCAAACACTGAGAAACAGGCCCGAACACTGAGAAACAGGCCAAACACTGAGAAACAGGCCAAACACTGAGAAACAGGCCCGAACACTGAGAAACAGGCCCGAACACTGAGAAACAGGCCCGAACACTGAGAAACAGGCCAAACACTGAGAAACAGGCCCGAACACTGAGGAAAAACAGGCCTGAACACTGAGAAACAGGCCAAACACTGAGAAACAGGCCCGAACACTGAGAAACAGGCCCAAACACTGAGAAACAGGCCCAAACACTGAGAAACAGGCCAAACACTGAGAAAAAGGCCAAACACTGAGAAACAGGCCCGAACACTGAGAAACAGGCCAAACACTGAGAAACAGGCCCGAACACTGAGAAACAGGCCCAAACACTGAGAAACAGGCCCGAACACTGAGAAACAGGCTAAACACTGAGAAACAGGCCAAACACTGAGAAACAGGCCCGAACACTGAGAAACAGGCCCGAACACTGAGAAACAGGCCTGAACACTGAGAAACAGGCCAAACACTGAGAAACAGGCCCGAACACTGAGAAACAGGCCCGAACACTGAGAAACAGGCCTGAACACTGAGAAACAGGCCCGAACACTGAGAAACAGGCCTGACTATGCAAATTGATGATGATAATGATGTCAATCGATCAGGCTGCTGTCTACTTTTTTGCTCCTTTCATTTGGGTTTAAAAAAAAAACAAAAAACTTTTCCTCAGTTTTTCTTTAGAAGAAGATTTTTCCAAAGCTTTACCTGCAGATGGACCAATCAGAGCACAGCTGACACGGACCAATCAGAGCGTTGCTCAGATGGACCAATCAGAGCCCTCTTTTCCTCTGTCATGTGTTTCTGCTGAATTGTGGTGAATGTAGAAATAGAATGAATCCTGCATAGATCAGACTCCTCTGGATCTGTGACCTCATCACAGAGAGGATGATGATGTCAGATCTTCATGTTTTCTTGTTTAGTGTTCAGCAAAGAATCTGAAGAACATCTCTGAGCTGTTCTACTACGCCCAGAAGGCCGTCCTCCACCCAACCGGCCCCCTCTACTGTCCTGAGAACAAACAGGTACGTTCCTCAGTCAGAAGACGAGCACCACCCTGCTGCTCTGAACACCACCCTGCTGCTCTGAGCACCACCCTGCTGCTCTGAGCACCACCCTGCTGCTCTGAGCACCACCCTTCTGCTCTGAGCACCAATCTTCTGCTCTGAGCACCACCCTGCTGCTCTGAGCACCACCCTGCTGCTCTGAGCACAGCCCTGCTGCTTCTGAGCACCACCCTGCTGCTTCTGAGCACCACCCTTCTGCTCTGAGCACCAATCTTCTGCTCTGAGCACCACCCTGCTGCTCTGAGCACCACCCTGCTGCTCTGAGCACAGCCCTGCTGCTTCTGAGCACCACCCTGCTGCTCTGAGCACCACCCTGCTGCTTCTGAGCACCACCCTTCTGCTCTGAGCACCAATCTTCTGCTCTGAGCACCACCCTTCTGCTCTGAGCACCACCCTTCTGCTCTGAGCACCACCCTTCTGCTCTGAGCACCACCCTTCTGCTCTGAGCACCAATCTTCTGCTCTGAGCACCACCCTTCTGCTCTGAGCACCACCCTGCTGCTCTGAGCACCACCCTGCTGCTCTGAGCACCACCCTGCTGCTCTGAGCACCACCCTTCTGCTCTGAGCACCAATCTTCTGCTCTGAGCACCACCCTTCTGCTCTGAGCACCACCCTGCTGCTCTGAGCACCACCCTGCTGCTCTGAGCACCACCCTGCTGCTCTGAGCACAGCCCTGCTGCTCTGAGCACCACCCTTCTGCTCTGAGCACCACCCTTCTGCTCTGAGCACCAATCTTCTGCTCTGAGCACCACCCTGCTGCTCTGAGCACCACCCTTCTGCTCTGAGCACCACCCTGCTGCTCTGAGCACCACCCTGCTGCTCTGAGCACAGCCCTGCTGCTCTGAGCACCACCCTTCTGCTCTGAGCACCACCCTGCTGCTCTGAGCACCACCCTGCTGCTCTGAGCACAGCCCTGCTGCTCTGAGCACCACCCTTCTGCTCTGAGCACCACCCTTCTGCTCTGAGCACCACCCTGCTGCTTCTGAGCACAGCCCTGCTGCTCTGAGCACCACCCTTCTGCTCTGAGCACCACCCTGCTGCTTCTGAGCACCACCCTGCTGCTCTGAGCACCACCCTTTTGCTCTGAGCACCACCCTTCTGCTCTGAGCACCACCCTGCTGCTTCTGAGCACAGCCCTGCTGCTCTGAGCACCACCCTTCTGCTCTGAGCACCACCCTTCTGCTCTGAGCACCACCCTGCTGCTCTGAGCACCACCCTTCTGCTCTGAGCACCACCCTGCTGCTTCTGAGCACAGCCCTGCTGCTCTGAGCACCACCCTGCTCCTCTGAGCACCACCCTTCTGCTCTGAGCACCACCCTTCTGCTCTGAGCACCACCCTGCTGCTTCTGAGCACCAATCTTCTGCTCTGAGCACCACCCTGCTGCTCTGAGCACCACCCTTCTGCTCTGAGCACCACCCTTCTGCTCTGAGCACCACCCTGCTGCTTTGAGCACCACCCTGCTGCTCTGAGCACCATCCTTCTGCTCTGAGCACCACCCTTCTGCTCTGAGCACCACCCTTCTGCTCTGAGCACCACCCTGCTGCTTCTGAGCACCAATCTTCTGCTCTGAGCACAGCCCTGCTGCTCTGAGCACCACCCTTCTGCTCTGAGCACCACCCTTCTGCTCTGAGCACCACCCTTCTGCTCTGAGCACCAATCTTCTGCTCTGAGCACCACCCTTCTGCTCTGAGCACCACCCTGCTGCTTCTGAGCACCAATCTTCTGCTCTGAGCACCACCCTGCTGCTCTGAGCACCACCCTTCTGCTCTGAGCACCACCCTTCTGCTCTGAGCACCACCCTTCTGCTCTGAGCACCACCCTGCTGCTTCTGAGCACCACCCTGCTGCTTCTGAGCACCACCTTGCTGCTCTGAGCACCACCCTGCTGCTCTGAGCACCACCCTGCTGCTTCTGAGCACAGCCCTGCTGCTCTGAGCACCACCCTTCTGCTCTGAGCACCACCCTTCTGCTCTGAGCACCACCCTTCTGCTCTGAGCACCACCCTGCTGCTTCTGAGCACCACCCTGCTGCTCTGAGCACCACCCTTCTGCTCTGAGCACCACCCTTCTGCTCTGAGCACCACCCTGCTGCTTCTGAGCACCACCCTTCTGCTCTGAGCACCACCCTGCTGCTTCTGAGCACAGCCCTGCTGCTCTGAGCACCACCCTTCTGCTCTGAGCACCACCCTTCTGCTCTGAGCACCACCCTTCTGCTCTGAGCACCACCCTGCTGCTTCTGAGCACCACCCTTCTGCTCTGAGCACCACCCTTCTGCTCTGAGCACCACCCTGCTGCTCTGAGCACCACCCTGCTGCTCTGAACACCACCCTGCTGCTCTGAGCACCACCCTGCTGCTTCTGAGCACAGCCCTGCTGCTCTGAGCACCACCCTTCTGCTCTGAGCACCACCCTGCTGCTCTGAGCACCACCCTTCTGCTCTGAGCACCACCCTGCTGCTTCTGAGCACCACCCTTCTGCTCTGAGCACCACCCTTCTGCTCTGAGCACCACCCTGCTGCTCTGAGCACCACCCTGCTGCTCTGAACACCACCCTGCTGCTCTGAGCACCACCCTGCTGCTTCTGAGCACAGCCCTGCTGCTCTGAGCACCACCCTTCTGCTCTGAGCACCACCCTGCTGCTCTGAGCACCACCCTTCTGCTCTGAGCACCACCCTGCTGCTTCTGAGCACCACCCTTCTGCTCTGAGCACCACCCTTCTGCTCTGAGCACCACCCTTCTGCTCTGAGCACCACCCTTCTGCTCTGAGCACCACCCTGCTGCTCTGAGCACCACCCTTCTGCTCTGAGCACCACCCTGCTGCTTCTGAGCACCACCCTTCTGCTCTGAGCACCACCCTTCTGCTCTGAGCACCACCCTGCTGCTTCTGAGCACCACCCTGCTGCTCTGAGCACCACCCTGCTGCTCTGAGCACCACCCTTCTGCTCTGAGCACCACCCTCCTACCCTCCAACCTCATAAAGCTGATTATTATGCAGCTTCTCTATAATATTTCCTTATTATTCTAACAGGATCAAAGTTCTCCGGCTCCTCCTGATCTTTTTAAATTCTGTCCATCTGAAAACTATTTTGGCTCCTTCTGATGTAAAATATTTAATCCTTCTGAAATTGTTCTTAAATTGATGTCGGATCATTTTTTTATAAGGAAACAATCATTTAGAATTAATTTCATGCTGTTTTTTTTTTCCTCTGGAGGAAAAGGCTAAGAATTCAGCTTGTGTGGATGTAGCGTTAGCGACGTTAGCGGTTTGCCATGGTTGGTTTACCAATCAGCTCTGCTAACGGTGCTAACATGGCAGGCTAATGAAAAAGTCTGATTATTCCTTTAAAATCACTGAAGATGCCGTTAAACTGATTTTATCTCAACATGTCAAACATAAAGGAAAAGTTTTCAGGCTGATTTTCAGAAACGAGTCCAGAGTTGCTTTTCCTTTTGCCTTTTTCCTATTTATTTAGTATTTAATCAGAGAATATAATTTTTTTTTCCATCAGGACACAGAGCTGGACGCTGCAGAAGGTGAAACTAATTTGATTTTATCTGCTGTTTGAAAGCAGCAGCCTGAAGGAAAACATTGATAACAGATTTAGGCTCCATCTCAAGATCCTGGTTAAACTAGAGCATCCTGGTTAAACTAGAGCATCCTGGTTAAACTAGAGCATCCTGGTTAAACTCCAGCATCCTGGTTAAACTAGAGCATCCTGGTTAAACTCCAGCATCCTGGTTAAACTAGAGCATCCTGGTTAAACTAGAGCATCCTGGTTAAACTAGAGCATCCTGGTTAAACTCCAGCATCCTGGTTAAACTAGAGCATCCTGGTTAAACTCCAGCATCCTGGTTAAACTAGAGCATCCTGGTTAAACTCCAGCATCCTGGTTAAACTCCAGCATCCTGGTTAAACTCCAGCATCCAGGTTAAACTAGAGCATCCTGGTTAAACTCCAGCATCCAGGTTAAACTAGAGCATCCTGGTTAAACTCCAGCATCCTGGTTAAACTCCAGCATCCTGGTTAAACTCCAGCATCCTGGTTAAACTAGAGCATCCTGGTTAAACTCCAGCATCCTGGTTAAACTCCAGCATCCTGGTTAAACTAGAGCATCCTGGTTAAACTAGAGCATCCTGGTTAAACTCCAGCATCCTGGTTAAACTCCAGCATCCTGGTTAAACTAGAGCATCCTGGTTAAACTCCAGCATCCTGGTTAAACTAGAGCATCCTGGTTAAACTCCAGCATCCTGGTTAAACTAGAACATCCTGGTTAAACTCCAGCATCCTGGTTAAACTCCAGCATCCTGGTTAAACTCAAACATCCTGGTTAAACTAGAGCATCCTGGTTAAACTCCAGCATCATGGTTAAACTAGAGCATCCCGGTTAAACTCAAACATCCTGGTTAAACTCCAGCATCCCGGTTAAACTAGAGCATCCTGGTTAAACTAGAGCATCCTGGTTAAACTAGAGCATCCTGGTTAAACTCCAGCATCCTGGTTAAACTAGAGCATCCCGGTTAAACTCAAACATCCTGGTTAAACTCCAGCATCCTGGTTAAACTCCAGCATCCTGGTTAAACTAGAGCATCCCGGTTAAACTAGAGCATCCTGGTTAAACTAGAGCATCCTGGTTAAACTAGAGCATCCTGGTTAAACTCCAGCATCCTGGTTAAACTAGAGCATTCTGGTTAAACTAGAGCATCCTGGTTAAACTAGAGCATCCTGGTTAAACTCCAGCATCCCGGTTAAACTAGAGCATCCTGGTTAAACTAGAGCATCCTGGTTAAACTAGAGCATCCTGGTTAAACTCCAGCATCCTGGTTAAACTAGAGCATCCCGGTTAAACTCAAACATCCTGGTTAAACTCCAGCATCCCGGTTAAACTAGAGCATCCTGGTTAAACTCCAGCATCCTGGTTAAACTAGAGCATCCTGGTTAAACTAGAGCATCCTGGTTAAACTAGAGCATCCTGGTTAAACTCCAGCATCCTGGTTAAACTACAGCATCCTGGTTAAACTCCAGCATCCTGGTTAAACTAGAGCATCCTGGTTAAACTCCAGCATCCTGGTTAAACTCCAGCATCCTGGTTAAACTCCAGCATCCAGGTTAAACTAGAGCATCCTGGTTAAACTCCAGCATCCAGGTTAAACTAGAGCATCCTGGTTAAACTCCAGCATCCTGGTTAAACTCCAGCATCCTGGTTAAACTAGAGCATCCTGGTTAAACTCCAGCATCCTGGTTAAACTAGAGCATCCTGGTTAAACTCCAGCATCCTGGTTAAACTCCAGCATCCTGGTTAAACTCCAGCATCCTGGTTAAACTAGAGCATCCTGGTTAAACTCCAGCATCCTGGTTAAACTCCAGCATCCTGGTTAAACTCCAGCATCCAGGTTAAACTAGAGCATCCTGGTTAAACTCCAGCATCCAGGTTAAACTAGAGCATCCTGGTTAAACTCCAGCATCCTGGTTAAACTCCAGCATCCTGGTTAAACTAGAGCATCCTGGTTAAACTCCAGCATCCTGGTTAAACTAGAGCATCCTGGTTAAACTCCAGCATCCTGGTTAAACTCCAGCATCCTGGTTAAACTCCAGCATCCTGGTTAAACTAGAGCATCCTGGTTAAACTCCAGCATCCTGGTTAAACTCCAGCATCCTGGTTAAACTAGAGCATCCTGGTTAAACTCCAGCATCCTGGTTAAACTCCAGCATCCTGGTTAAACTCCAGCATCCTGGTTAAACTAGAGCATCCTGGTTAAACTCCAGCATCCTGGTTAAACTAGAGCATCCTGGTTAAACTCCAGCATCCTGGTTAAACTAGAACATCCTGGTTAAACTCCAGCATCCTGGTTAAACTCCAGCATCCTGGTTAAACTCAAACATCCTGGTTAAACTAGAGCATCCTGGTTAAACTCCAGCATCATGGTTAAACTAGAGCATCCCGGTTAAACTCAAACATCCTGGTTAAACTCCAGCATCCCGGTTAAACTAGAGCATCCTGGTTAAACTAGAGCATCCTGGTTAAACTCCAGCATCCTGGTTAAACTAGAGCATCCCGGTTAAACTCAAACATCCTGGTTAAACTCCAGCATCCCGGTTAAACTAGAGCATCCTGGTTAAACTCCAGCATCCTGGTTAAACTCCAGCATCCTGGTTAAACTAGAGCATCCTGGTTAAACTAGAGCATCCTGGTTAAACTAGAGCATCCTGGTTAAACTCCAGCATCCTGGTTAAACTAGAGCATCCCAGTTAAACTAGAGCATCCTGGTTAAACTAGAGCATCCTGGTTAAACTAGAGCATCCTGGTTAAACTCCAGCATCCCAGTTAAACTAGAGCATCCTGGTTAAACTCCAGCATCCTGGTTAAACTAGAGCATCCTGGTTAAACTCCAGCATCCCAGTTAAACTAGAGCATCCCGGTTAAACTAGAGCATCCTGGTTAAACTCCAGCATCCTGGTTAAACTAGAGCATCCTGGTTAAACTAGAGCATCCTGGTTAAACTCCAGCATCCTGGTTAAACTCCAGCATCCTGGTTAAACTAGAGCATCCCAGTTAAACTAGAGCATCCTGATTAAACTCCAGCATCCTGGTTAAACTAGAGCATCCCAGTTAAACTACAGCATCCTGGTTAAACTAGAGCATCCCAGTTAAACTAGAGCATCCTGGTTAAACTAGAGCATCCTGGTTAAACTAGAGCATCCCGGTTAAACTAGTGCATCCTGGTTAAACTCCAGCATCCTGGTTAAACTAGAGCATCCCAGTTAAACTACAGCATCCTGGTTAAACTAGAGCATCCCAGTTAAACTAGAGCATCCTGGTTAAACTAGAGCATCCTGGTTAAACTAGAGCATCCCGGTTAAACTAGAGCATCCTGGTTAAACTCCAGCATCCTGGTTAAACTAGAGCATCCTGGTTAAACTAGAGCATCCTGGTTAAACTCCAGCATCCTGGTTAAACTCCAGCATCCTGGTTAAACTAGAGCATCCCGGTTAAACTAGAGCATCCTGGTTAAACTCCAGCATCCTGGTTAAACTCCAGCATCCTGGTTAAACTAGAGCATCCCAGTTAAACTACAGCATCCTGGTTAAACTGGAGCATCCCAGTTAAACTAGAGCATCCTGGTTAAACTAGAGCATCCTGGTTAAACTAGAGCATCCTGGTTAAACTCCAGCATCCTGGTTAAACTCCAGCATCCTGGTTAAACTAGAGCATCCCAGTTAAACTACAGCATCCTGGTTAAACTAGAGCATCCCAGTTAAACTAGAGCATCCTGGTTAAACTAGAGCATCCTGGTTAAACTAGAGCATCCCGGTTAAACTAGAGCATCCTGGTTAAACTCCAGCATCCTGGTTAAACTAGAGCATCCCAGTTAAACTACAGCATCCTGGTTAAACTAGAGCATCCCAGTTAAACTACAGCATCCTGGTTAAACTAGAGCATCCCAGTTAAACTACAGCATCCTGGTTAAACTAGAGCATCCCAGTTAAACTAGAGCATCCTGGTTAAACTCCAGCATCCTGGTTAAACTAGAGCATCCCAGTTAAACTACAGCATTCTGGTTAAACTAGAGCATCCCAGTTAAACTAGAGCATCCTGGTTAAACTAGAGCATCCTGGTTAAACTAGAGCATCCCGGTTAAACTAGAGCATCCTGGTTAAACTCCAGCATCCTGGTTAAACTAGAGCATCCCAGTTAAACTACAGCATCCTGGTTAAACTAGAGCATCCCAGTTAAACTAGAGCATCCCAGTTAAACTAGAGCATCCCAGTTAAACTAGAGCATCCTGGTTAAACTAGAGCATCCCGGTTATACTAGAGCATCCCAGTTAAACTACAGCATCCTGGTTAAACTAGAGCATCCCAGTTAAACTAGAGCATCCCAGTTAAACTAGAGCATCCCAGTTAAACTAGAGCATCCTGGTTAAACTAGAGCATCCCAGTTAAACTAGAGCATCCCAGTTAAACTAGAGCATCCTGGTATAAAATTCGATAATTTTCCTAGATTTCTGAGTTTGGGATTTTAGTGCCTGACCCGTCGGTGCCTCCTCGATCAGAAACGTTATTAAAAAGATGCTGATTTAGAGGAAGATGCTCTGATTTTGCTCAGCATCTGATCTATTGCTGTATTTCTATATAGAAGCACAGAGCAGCTAGAGTTGCTTCAGCCTTAATATCTGCTGTTTCAGATGAAGCCTCTGTGCGTTAAAGCGCTGACCCGGATCTTCAAAGTGTCCGACCTGGATAACGACGGGATCCTCAAAGATAACGAGCTCAACTTCTTCCAGGTGAACCTGCTCCTCCTTCCTCCACCTGCTCCTCCTTCCTCTACCTGCTCCTCCTTCCTCCACCTGCTCCTCCTTCCTCCACCTGCTCCTCCTTCCTCTACCTGCTCCTCCTTCCTCCACCTGCTCCTCCTTCCTCCACCTGCTCCTCCTTCCTCCACCTGCTCCTCCTTCCTCTACCTGCTCCTCCTTCCTCCACCTGCTCCTCCTTCCTCCACCTGCTCCTCCTTCCTCTACCTGCTCCTCCTTCCTCCACCTGCTCCTCCTTCCTCTACCTGCTCCTCCTTCCTCTACCTGCTCCTCCTTCCTCCACCTGCTCCTCCTTCCTCCACCTGCTCCTCCTTCCTCTACCTGCTCCTCCTTCCTCCACCTGCTCCTCCTTCCTCCACCTGCTCCTCCTTCCTCTACCTGCTCCTCCTTCCTCCACCTGCTCCTCCTTCCTCCACCTGCTCCTCCTTCCTCCACCTGCTCCTCCTTCCTCCACCTGCTCCTCCTTCCTCTACCTGCTCCTCCTTCCTCCACCTGCTCCTCCTTCCTCCACCTGCTCCTCCTTCCTCTACCTGCTCCTCCTTCCTCCACCTGCTCCTCCTTCCTCCACCTGCTCCTCCTTCCTCTACCTGCTCCTCCTTCCTCCACCTGCTCCTCCTTCCTTCAGCAGAGACGCTTCTGCAGGTCGTTGTGGTGTTTTAACCGACTGCGCTGCGTTTCTCTGGCAGCGGGCGTGCTTCCACAGCCCCCTGGAGCCTCAGGCGTTGGAGGATGTGAAGAACGTTGTGAGGAAGAACCTGATTGATGGCGTCCTCCATAACGGACTCACCCTAAAAGGTAGGAACCAGTGGAAGCAGCCGTTAATCCAGCTGCATGTATTTCTCACCGCTCCGTCTCTCCTGCCTTACAGGCTTCCTCTTTCTGCACACGCTGTTCATTCAGCGCGGCCGCCATGAAACCACCTGGACAGTTCTGAGGAGGTTCGGGTACGACGATGACCTGGAGCTAAACCAGGACTATCTCTTCCCTCCGTGAGTCTCACCTGATGTTTCATCAGATACCAGATTTCCACTGGGCTGCATTTTAAACCTTTGCTTCTGTTTTTCTAAAGGCTAAAGGTTCCTCCTGACTGCAGCACGGAGCTGAACCACAACGCCTACCTCTTCCTGCAGAGCGTCTTTGACAAACACGACAAGGTGCCGCCCTGCTGCAGCTCGTTTGCTGTTTGCTTATCAAACCCACTGCTGAGGGGCCATTTAACCTGCTGCCATGGAAGCAGGATTTAGCCCAGACTAAAGACTAAATCATTACACCCTGAGGATTTATCCAGCGTCTGCCTGACGTCCCAGAATCGCCTAAAACGCTGAACTTTCTATGGATTGTTTCTATTCTGGGCGTAAACATGGAGGATTCATAACGAGTCCAGAGCTTCTGTCCAACGACAGCCTAACTTCTGCATAACGCACGGCAGCGTGACGCCTACTTTTACTTAGAATAAAAAATAGGCCCATCAATGCAGTCAGTATGAAGAAGTCTATAAATCATTAATATAACATATTATACAAACCATCACAATATTAATGTGTTAATGCAGCAGAATAATACTGATTTCCCAAAAGTGATAAATGAATGATGAACATGTGATATAGATGGATTTATTACATTGCTGTGGTAATTACAGGATTTCCCATCCAGACTGAATTAGCAGTACATTTCTGTTAATGCTGCAGTATTTTCCTATCTGCAGGTTATTAAATGAATGACGCTATAAGCATTAGCCTTTAAATCTGACATAGATCTGACATAGAGCTAAATTAATACGTATGCAAACACACGTACTATCCAGTGGTTGAATACCTTTAATAATAGAACTTGCACCTCCGCTGTGAATTCACATCCAAATACACATAGATATTTTTATTATCGATATAACGTAATATATTTCAGTATGTGACTTTTTCAAAGGAGAAGTAAACCCAAAAAAACATCCAGACCATCTCTACACCCGTCATCCGGGGGTCGAGGGTTCATGGGAGGTCACCCAACCAGTCCACATGTGTTTTGTGGACCTGGAGAAGGCGTTTGACGCGTCCCTAGTGGTGCCTGTGGGAGGTTCTCTGGGTGTACGGGGCCCGGGGCCCTCTGCTGTCTGTATGACCGCAGCAGGAGCTTGGTTCAGTAAGTCAGACCTGTTCCCGGGGCATGCTGGCCTCCGGCAGGGCTGCCCTTTGCCACCAGGTCCGTTCATTACATCTATGGACAGAATGTCTAGGAGCAGCCAGGGACCCGAGGGGGTCCGGTTTGGGAGTCTCAGGATGTCATCTCTGCTGTTTGCAGATGATGTTGTCCTGTTGGCCTCATCAAACCAGGACCTTTGCCGTGGACTGGGGTGGTTTGCAGCAGAGTGGGAAGTGGCCGGGATGAGGATCAGCACCTCCAAGTCCGAGGCCCTCACTCTGGACCCCGATATGGGGTCCAGAGTGAGGGCCTCATGCAATGTGAGATTGATAGACAGGTCGGTGCGGCGTCGGCAGTGATGCAGTCGCTGTATCGGACTTTAGTGGTGAAGGAGGAGCTGGGTCAGGGGACAAAGCTCTGGACAGGATCGCGAATACAAGCGGCCGAAATGAGTTTCCTTCACAGGATGGCTGGGCGCATCCTTCCAGATGGGGTCAGGAGCTCAGAGTCGGAAAACAGGCAAAGATCAAAACATCTATTTAATCTTTAGCTCAATAAAAACCAGAGGATGGATGGAACAAGCTCTGCCTGTCAGCTGAAGTTCTTCTACAACCATGTGAAGAAATCATTTCTAGCTGTTTGTCGTTTATTTGAAGATGAAGCAGCTGGGTTTAAGTTTGGAGCTGGGTTTAAGTTTGGAGCTGGGTTTGAGTTTGGAGCTGGGTTTGAGTTTGGAGCTGGGTTTGAGTTTGGAGCTGGGTCTAAGTTTGGAGCTGAGTTTTAGTTTGGAGCTGGGTTTGAGTTTGGAGCTGGGTTTGAGTTTGGAGCTGGGTTTGAGTTTGGAGCTGGGTTTGAGTTTGGAGCTGGGTTTTAGTTTGGAGCTGGGTTTTAGTTTGGAGCTGGGTTTTAGTTTGGAGCTGGGTTTGAGTTTGGAGCTGGGTTTGAGTTTGGAGCTGGGTTTGAGTTTGGAGCTGGGTTTGAGTTTGGAGCTGGGTTTAAGTTTGGAGCTGAGTTTGAGTTTGGAGCTGGGTTTTAGTTTGGAGCTGGGTTTTAGTTTGGAGCTGGGTTTGAGTTTGGAGCTGGGTTTGAGTTTGGAGCTGGGTTTGAGTTTGGAGCTGGGTTTGAGTTTGGAGCTGGGTTTGAGTTTGGAGCTGAGTTTGAGTTTGGAGCTGGGTTTGAGTTTGGAGCTGGGTTTGAGTTTGGAGCTGGGTTTGAGTTTGGAGCTGGGTTTGAGTTTGGAGCTGGGTTTGAGTTTGGAGCTGAGTTTGAGTTTGGAGCTGAGTTTGAGTTTGGAGCTGAGTTTGAGTTTGGAGCTGGGTTTGAGTTTGGAGCTGGGTTTGAGTTTGGAGCTGAGTTTGAGTTTGGAGCTGGGTTTGAGTTTGGAGCTGGGTTTTAGTTTGGAGCTGGGTTTTAGTTTGGAGCTGGGTTTGAGTGTGGAGCTGAGTTTTAGTTTGGAGCTGGGTTTGAGTGTGGAGTTGGGTTTGAGTTTGGAGCTGGGTTTGAGTTTGGAGCTGGGTTTGAGTGTGGAGCTGGGTTTGAGTTTGGAGCTGGGTTTGAGTTTGGAGCTGGGTTTGAGTTTGGAGCTGGGTTTTAGTTTGGAGCTGGGTTTTAGTTTGGAGCTGGGTTTGAGTGTGGAGCTGGGTTTGAGTGTGGAGCTGGGTTTGAGTTTGGAGCTGAGTTTGAGTTTGGAGCTGGGTTTGAGTTTGGAGCTGGGTTTGAGTTTGGAGCTGGGTTTTAGTTTGGAGCTGGGTTTTGGTTTGGAGCTGGGTTTGAGTTTGGAGCTGAGTTTGAGTTTGGAGCTGGGATTTAGTTTGGAGCTGGGTTTGAGTGTGGAGCTGGGTTTGAGTTTGGAGCTGAGTTTGAGTTTGGAGCTGGGTTTGAGTTTGGAGCTGGGTTTTAGTTTGGAGCTGGGTTTTAGTTTGGAGCTGGGTTTGAGTGTGGAGCTGGGTTTTAGTTTGGAGCTGGGTTTTAGTTTGGAGCTGGGTTTGAGTGTGGAGCTGGGATTTAGTTTGGAGCTGGGTTTGAGTTTGGAGCTGGGTTTTAGTTTGGAGCTGGGTTTGAGTGAAGTGAAAGTGAAGTGAAGTGAAAGCCCTTTGGGAAACTCCTCCAACTCCCATTGTCATTGTGACACAGCACACACAAGTGAACACTGCACACCATGAAATTGCATTTATGCCTCACCCGTGCAAGGGGGCAGCCCTCAATGGCGCCCCAAGGGAGCAGTGTGGCGGGACGGTACCATGCTCAGGGTACCTCAGTCATGGAGGAGGATGGGGGAGAGCGCTGGTTAATTACTCCCCCCACCAACCTGGCGGGTCAGGAGTCGAACCGGTAACCTTTGGGATCCAAGTCTGACACCCTAACCGCTCACCCACGACTGCCCACTGGGCACTGAGTGTGGAGCTGGGTTTTAGTTTGGAGCTGGGTTTGAGTTTGGAGCTGGGTTTTAGTTTGGAGCTGGGTTTTAGTTTGGAGCTGGGTTTGAGTGTGGAGCTGGGATTTAGTTTGGAGCTGGGTTTGAGTGTGGAGCTGGGTTTGAGTTTGGAGCTGGGTTTTAGTTTGGAGCTGAGTTTGAGTTTGGAGCTGGGTTTGAGTTTGGAGCTGGGTTTTAGTTTGGAGCTGGGTTTTAGTTTGGAGCTGGGTTTGAGTGTGGAGCTGGGATTTAGTTTGGAGCTGGGTTTGAGTGTGGAGCTGAGTTTTAGTGTGGAGCTGGGATTTAGTTTGGAGCTGGGTTTGAGTGTGGAGCTGAGTTTTAGTTTGGAGCTGGGTTTGAGTGTGGAGCTGGGTTTGAGTTTGGAGCTGGGTTTTAGTTTGGAGCTGGGTTTTAGTTTGAAGCTCAACTCTGACTGATTCCCTCATTTCTTTGATAATCTGATGAAACGATGAGAATAACAGCCAAGTTTGTTTCCAGGTTTGAAGACGTTTCTCTTCCATCCAGGAAGATTTTTCACTTCAAAATGTCAGAAATAGCGTTTAGTTCCAGGTTTTATCCAGCAGCCCAACAAAGCCTGGTTTTAGTTTAGAAAACATGCAAATAGAAACGGATGAACGGGTCCCCCCCTTTGGAATGGGGGTCGTTTGGCTTCTTTGTTAGCCTGCAATGCCCCATACCTGTCTATGTCTCTGAAAGGGGGGTCGTTAGAGGGAATAGTTGGCCTGGATGAACAGGCCAGATGTTTTGTCCCCTGCATGGGGGTGGAGGATGAAATGATAGCAGGAAGGAATCACTTTTATTGCTGCGTTGTAGGTTTTTTAAAGCTGAACCAGCGTGTTAATGGACGCCGTTTTTAATGGCTGACAGGACCGTGACTGCGCCTTGTCGCCTGATGAGCTGAGGGACCTGTTTGATGTTTTCCCGTACACGCCCTGGGGTCCAGATGTCAACAACACGGTGTGCACCAACGAGCAAGGCTGGATCACCTACCAGGGCTTCCTCTCTCAGTGGACGTAAGTAGAGGAGAACTGAAGGCTTCTTCCTTTTTTATCGTTTATACCTGCATGTGTGTTTAAAACAGTCATTAAAGATCATTGACTGATTCTTGGTGCAATTCAAGCCCTTCTGGATTTATTTTCATGGGCAAACAGTAGTTGTCATGAAGCTGAGGGACATCAGCAGCAGGAGGAGGCAGGGAAGGAGCTTCCCATCAGGTCAGAGGAGGAAGCAGGAGCTGCAGCTTTATGATGCTGATTAAAGCAACAGGAGGAGCTTTCATTTCATTCCCTCTCTGCTGTTTGCATCTTCTCTGCTTCACAGTGACTCTCCTGTTCAAACCAGCTGCTATCCTCAGCAGGAAGGAGGAGCAGCAGGAGCTCCTGCAGGAGCGTCAGTACTTCCTGATCCCTGGATGAGGGAAAGTGTGTCCTCCTCAGGACGGTTTTAATCATTTTAGATCCTTAAAATCAGTGTTTTCATTACGGAACGAATCTGGACTCATTTCTGTTGTGTAGTGTGGGACAGGAAGCGGCTTTGTTTTTTTTAACTGGGGTATAAACTGGGATTAACATTCGTTAATCGTTCGTCGAGATTATTCTAAAAAGATCTATATTAATAGACTGTTTTTCTCTTTTCAGTGCTTTAATCAATTATTTCCTTCCTTTCATTCTTCCTTATTTATTCTTGTCTCCCTTCTTTCCTTTCCTTAATCACTTCCTTCTTCCCTCTCCTGTTTTCCTTCCTTCCTTTATTCCTTCCCTGCATCCTTACTTTCTTTCCTCTATTCTTCTTTTTTTGTTCGTCTTCTTTCCTTCCTTTCTCGATGCCTCTTAGCTTTGTCTGTTTTTCTGCAGGCTAACGACGTATCTGGACGTCCAGAGATGTCTGGAGTATTTCGGTTACCTTGGTTACTCCATAGTTGCTGAGCAGGAGTCCCAGGCTGCAGGAATCACAGGTCATTTGATCAGATCCTCTTTTTTTCCTTTAATAGAAATTATGACTTTATTTAAGGACAGAAAACAGTTGGTTGTGGATGTCTGTTAGAAATGAGCCTAACTTCCTGTGCGATGGAATAATGCAGGCGATCAGGCGTAACGTGGCTCGCTGCAGCCTGAGCTGATCTGCTGTGTTTGTGCTTCGGCCCCCTGCAGTGACTAGAGCTAAGAAGATTGACCTGCAGAAGAAACAGACGCAGCGGAACGTCTTCCGCTGCAACGTGTTTGGAGCCGTAGGCAGCGGGAAGAGCGGCTTCCTGCAGGCCTTCCTGGGCAGAAACCTGCTGGTAGGCAGAAGCTTAGATCCTGGTGCAGAGCTGCAGACGGCCCAGGATTAGCTGGATCATTGCATTAAAGTGCAGCGGGTCAGAGGTGGGCTAAATGAAGCCGCAGGGAAGCTGGAAGGGCGGGAAAATCTGATGGAGCTGAATGATGACTGGTTGGACTGAGGAGGATTTAAAGACCTAGAATGAATAGAGCAGAACATCAGACACAAGCTGTAATTGTTTCTACTTTAATGCTTTGTTGTGGATCTATAAACCAAGCTCTAGTTTGATCTGCTGATACCTGATTTCTCCTCAGGAGGAGAAAAACGTGACCTTTGACCTTTCTAAGCCTGTCCTCCATTAATCATTCATCTTTAAAGCAGGAACTATTAAATTAATAATAACATATTAACAGAAACAGATTCCTTCAGCAGCAGCCAATCGTCAGACGCGTCTCTGATGTTCCTCCTGTGAACATGAAGCCTTCAGGGTTCAGCAGAGATTCCATCCAAACTGGCTGAGAGAGAAAAACCCAGCGATGCTATTGATTGTTTCAACTGTTGCCATGGTGACAGAAATTAATTATCTTCAGTTTGGTTTTAGTGGAAATTAGGACTCGATATTCGACTTAATCAATATTATTACTTTATGATCATCAGCCTGCCTGTTGTTTGACCTTTTACTGCGCAGAGGTCCTGTGACATCAGCGCAGTGACATCACTGTTTGTGTGACATCACCTCTGATTGGTGTTTTCTTTGCTCCTCGCAGAAACCATTTTATTTAACGTTCCACTTTTCTCTTTCTAGCGACAGAATATGATGAAGGAGGAGCACCGATCGTTCTACGCCATCAGCACAACCTTCGTTTACGGCCAAGAGAAATACCTTCTGGTGAGGATTTAAACTCAGACCGTTTCCATAGTGACGCCTGTAGAGATGGTTAGTGACCCGTCTGCTCCACGGATCCCATTAAAAACCCAAACTGAACCTGGAGCTGCTGTTCTGCTGTCAGCCCACCTTAAAACCCATCCACCTTAAACCCAACCTCCTTAAACCTGTCCACCTTAAACCCAACCTCCTTAAACCTGTCCACCTTAAACCGGTCCACCTTAAACCCATCCTCCTTAAACCTGTCCACCTTAAACCCAACCTCCTTAAACCTGTCCACCTTAAACCCAACCTCCTTAAACCTGTCCACCTTAAACCGGTCCACCTTAAACCCATCCTCCTTAAACCTGTCCACCTTAAACCGGTCCACCTTAAACCGGTCCACCTTAAACCCATCCTCCTTAAACCGGTCCACCTTAAACCGGTCCACCTTAAACTGGTCCACCTTAAACCCGTCCACCTTATACCCATCCTCCTTAAACCGGTCCACCTTAAACCGGTCCACCTTAAACTGGTCCACTTTGAACCCGTCCACATTAAAGGAATAGTACACCCAAAACATGATTAGCCTTCATTTTCTACTCACCCCCATGCTAAGGTGGACTGGGTAAGGTGGATGGGTTTAAGGAGGATGGGTTCAAAGTGGACAGGTTTTAAGGTGGACTGGTTTAAGGAGGACCGGTTTAAAGGAATAGTACACCCAAAACATGATTAGCCTTCATTTTCTACTCACCCCCATGCTGAACAACACTCTGGAGTACTTTTTTGATATCTCAAATGCATCTGGAGATCTGGGAGGCTTCTTGCTGTCTGCTGACATTCAAATAATGGAGGTCTGTGGCGCCCGAGACAGAAAGGTCCATAAAAGTCCACAAAAACGTGTCAATATTCCTCCATACTGCTCGTCCAATGTATTCCAAGTGTCCTGAGTGGGTAGCGTCCAGAATTTACTCGAAACGAAGTCATTTAGAATGTTTTTAGAGCATAAACAGTAGTGTATAGGATTTCCTGAAAGCGAGTTCACGACGCTACGGAAACCGCGGCAGACCAAACCAGATGAAAGTGCGCATTCAGCTCGGCAAAGAACTCATGCTCTTCCTCAACACTGAAGTCCTCAGACATTTTTCTTTCGTTGTTTCTTTCTTTGCACAGGTAAACAGCACATTTCTTCTTCTACGCTTGCATTATCGGCAGAGCAGACGCTGAATGCGCACTTTCATCTGGTTTGGTCTGCCGGCTTCCGTAGAATCGTGAACGCGCTTTCAGGAAATCCTATACACTACTGTTTATGCTCTAAAAACATTCTAAATGACTTCGTTTCGAGTAAATTATGGACGCTACCCACTCAGGACACTTGGAATACATTGGACGAGCAGTATGGAGGAATATTGACACGTTTTTTGTGGACTTTTATGGACCTTTCTGCCTCGGGCGCCATAGACCTCCATTATTTGAATGTCAGCAGACAGCAAGAAGCCTCCCAGATCTCCAGATGCATTTGAGATATCAAAAAAGTACTCCAGAGTGTTGTTCAGCATGGGGGTGAGTAGAAAATGAAGGCTAATCATGTTTTGGGTGTACTATTCCTTTAAACCGGTCCTCCTTAAACCAGTCCACCTTAAAACCTGTCCCCTTTGAACCCATCCTCCTTAAACCGGTCCTCCTTAAACCCATCCACCTTACCCAGTCCACCTTAAACCGGTCATTCTTAAACCGGTCCACCTTAAACCCATCCACCTTAAACCTTTCCACCTTAAACCCGTCCAAATTAAACCGGTCCACCTTAAACCGGTCCACCTTAAACCGTTCCACCTTAAACCGGTCCACTTTAAACCGGTCCACCTTAAACCGGTCCACCTTAAACCCATCCTCCTTAAACCGTTCCATCTTAAACCGTTCCACCTTAAACCGGTCCACCTTAAACCCGTGCTCCTGATCTCCTTCACTTCGTGCTTTTGTCCGTTAAACTCTTCTCATTCGACAACATTTAAAAAATCGTTGCTGCAAAACAACCAAGAAATTAATGATAATTTCTTAAATGTATTTTTCCATAATTTAAGCAGGTAAATAAGACGACCTGCCGATCGACTGAGCATTTAGAATTAAACTTGAAATAAGATAATTAGATAATATCCACTTAAAATAAGACAGTGCAATAATTGTTTTCCTATTTTAATGTAAATTGTCTTGTTCCGGTGTTTCACACACTTCATCACTTATTTAAATAAAAAATGATTTTGATCATTAGATATCAGTAGAAATGTAGAACATCGTTATATTCTAGAATGTTTTAGTTAAACTACCAGTAATATTGTTTTAGTTAATGTGATGTTTGCTGAATCTCACTAATTAAAGTAATTAAAATAAAGATTGCTTCTGAAAGTCTTCATCTTTGCCAGTTTAGTAGAAATATTTTTCATTAAAATGATCTCAGATTATTAATCCAAACTGAAGCATTTCAGTTTAATAAAACCAGATTCAATGTATTCTTCCTCTATAGAAAGTTAAACCAGCTTTATTTTTTCCTCTGAATTTACTTTTTTTATTTAATTACATAAAGAAAACACTTTATTTTAATAGGAATTATTATGTTCATGTCATTGTATCAAATTACAGCAGTTTAAAGGAAAAATAACCCAGATTGGATTTAGATCTAGAGCAGTTAGTCCTGGTTGATGTGAGAAATCTTATCTAGTCTAATTTGATCTAATCTAATCTAATCTGATTTAATCAAACCAATCTAATTTGATCTAATCTAATCTGATATAATCTAATCTAATCTAATCCATCCCTTCTTCTCAGGATTTCGTTCTCTTTGATGCTTTAAAGTCATTTTCCAGGCTGCAAACAGCAAAGCAACATGCAGCTCTGTGAGGATTTAATCCGTGCAGCTAACTGTCTTAATCCAAGTTTAACTCTGGTTTAGTTAGTCAGGTCACACAGACAGACAGGAAGGCGCTGCAGCAGCCAACACAGTCGCTCTGTTACTTTTAACCTCATAAAAAAACAGCAGATTGTGTCTGATGTCCTCATTGGGGCCTTTTTATTTTCTGCTGTAATCAGTGATTAATCCCTTCCCCTGCAGCTTCATGAGGTTTTCCCAGACTTGGATTACCTGACTGATGCGGATATGGGCTGTGATGTCGTCTGCCTGCTGTACGACGTCAGCAACGCCTGCTCCTTGGAGTACTGCGCCAAAGTATTTAAGGTGGACATCTGGGCTTTAAATATTCCAGCCAAGCAGGGTCGATTTTAACGCTTCTCTCCTGGCAGCAATACTTCATGGACAGCAAGACGCCGTGCATGATGGTCGCAGCCAAATCCGACCTGCCGGAGGTCAAACAGACGTACGGCTGCAGCCCTCTGGAGTTCTGCAGGAAGCACAAGATGCCGCCTCCGCAGAGCTTCACCTGTAACACGGCAGCAGCACCAGACCGAGAAATCTACACCAAACTCACCACTATGGCCATGTACCCGTACGTACGCAGCCTTTAAACGCGCTTCATGTATAGAGAGAGAAATTAAACTTTATTCTATTTTTTTATTTATTATTAGGATTTTATTATTTCAATTTTATTTTATTATTTATTTATATTTTTTAACAGTGTCCTGTCTGGAAATGTGGCAATAAGAATAATTATCTTGATGCAAAGAAAAAAAATGTTGATTTAACAAGTATAAAAACTAAATAAATAAAAAAAATATATAATAAATTAAACAATTAAAAAATTAATCTGGAAAAAATAAAAAAATTAAACCTGAAATAATGTAATTGTTCAACAAAACAATTATAACAAAAAGGTAAAAAAAATAAATAACAGTTTATTGCAAAGAAAAGAAACAATTTTCATCTTCAGGTTAAACTTCAGGGGCTTCATGATGAACGCCAGAAAACAACCCATGTCCAGCTGTGGCATTCAGGGACTGTGGGAACTGGTAATATCTCTAAAGGAAAGTTTTAAGCCTAGCCTTAAAAGTAGACAGGGTGTCTGCCTCACGGACTAAAACTGGTAGTTGGTTCCACAGGAGAGGAGCCTGAGAACTAAAAGATCTGCCTCCCATTCTACTTTTAGAAATTCTAGGAACCACTAGTAAACCTGCAGATTGAGAGCGAAGTGCTCTGTTAGGAACATAAGGAACAATCAGATCTCTGATATCAGATGGAGCTTGGCCATTTAAGGCTTTATATGTGAGAAGGAGGATTTTAAATTCTATTCTTGATTTAACAGGAAGCCAATGAAGAGAAGCCAGGATAGGCGAGATATGATCTCTCTTTTTCATTTTCATTAGAACTCTGGCTGCAGCATTTTGGATCAGCTGAAGGCTTTTAACTACAGTTTGTGGACTTCCTGATAGTAAAGAATTACAATAGTCCAGCCTTGAAGTAACAAATGCATGGACTAGTTTCTCAGCATCACCCCTGGACAGGATATTTCTAATTTCTGCAATATTCCTCAGATGAAAGAAGGAAATTCTAGAAACCTCTTTGATCTGGGATTTAAATGACAGGTCCTGATCAAAAACAACACCAAGATTTTTTACTTTATTATCTGAAATCAGTTTAATCCAAATGAAGTGACTGGCTAATCAGATTATTTATTATAATTTCTTTTTATTTCTCTGCTGTTTGTTGCCTTTAGGTTAAAATAGAAAATGGAGTGAAAATGATTGAAATGATAAAAGGTTATTTTCTTATATTTAGGCACCAGCTGCTCTATTGGGTGATTTTTATTTTATTGTTTATAATATTTAATAATCTTTTGTATAGAAGTGAGTTTAACATGTTTATTACCTGCTGAGGTGGTTCCGGCTCTTACAGGATCTCTAACGTTCTTCTCTGTCCTATTGGTCTCCGCTGTGTTTGCCCCGCCCCCCCAGCCACGCCCGGCTGCGCTGCATGTGCACCTGTAACCGGTGCACCTTCTGCTTGTGTCAGAACCTGCTGAACTCTGAGCTGCTGCAGAGCATCAGGGCCAAACTCTACGCTGTGGTGCTCAGAAGGTCTCATGGAAACCTTTCCTTCCTCCGTCTCTCTCACCATCATCATCATCATCATCATCTCTCCTTTTTCTCCTGCCTCACTCCCTCTCAGGCTGTTTATGACATCATTTATGACATCATCCCTGTGATGTCAGGATCTTTGTTTAGCTTCTTTTGTTCCAGCTGTATTTCATCTAACAGACATTCCTCATCTTCATCCTTCCTGCTTCTTCACCATCTTCACATTTAAAAGCCTTTTCTTGGTTTTAAGTCGTTTCCTCTGATCCTATTTCTTCTTCTCTCACTATTTTTATTTTTACGTTTTGAAGTTTAAAATCAGATTTAAGGAGAATGACTCTGATCCAGGTTAGAATCACAGCTTTGGGGCAGATTTCTTTCTTTTTGGCGTCAGATTGAGAAGACGCCGTCTGCGGCGTTTCCTGACTTCCTCTTTATTCCAAGTCTTTACGGAAGGATCAGGATGAAAATGAATATTATTTCATCTAGTTATGGTGCCTTCAAGTGGCATCGTAATCGTTGTAAATGCCACTGAACGCCCACTCATGATGTAATTTGTTCTGGAAAACTGTGATGATATCTGGAATGCTGAGGCTTTGACCTTTTCAACATGGCGGAGAGCAGAGAAACTCCTCGCTTTGGTGAAAACGTTTCCTCCTAATGTCCAAATTGATCCGTTTAAAATATATAATTTTAGCTTCAGCAGGAATCTTCTGTTTTCTTTCATGATTAAACTGAATCGGTTTAGTTTTATGGGAGATTAGATTGTTTTCATAGTTTTCTCATATTTACTGAAAATAACGACCAACAAAGATAAACAGATTATTTTAAATTAGTTGGTAAGAAAAGAAAATTAATATTAGAAGCAGAGGAGATGTGAGATTATTAAAAAGGATTTTAACGAAGACCAACATTTAAAACCAGCTGAATAAACCAGCGTCTGTCTGTAGATCATTAGCTCAGATCTCAGAGGAAGCAGCAGGAACTAATTCTCTCTATTTGCACGGCTCTACGTCTTTCTCTCTATATGCACGGCTCTACGTCGTTCTCTCTATATGCACAGCTCTACGTCTTTCTCTCTATTTGCACGGCTCTACGTCTTTCTCTCTATTTGCACGGCTCTACGTCTTTCTTTCTATTTGCACGGCTCTACGTCTTTCTCTCTATTTGCACGGCTCTACGTCTTTCTCTCTATATGCACGGCTCTACGTCTTTCTCTCTATTTGCACGGCTCTATGTTTTTCTGTTTGCACGGCTCTACGTCTTTCTCTCTGTTTGCACGGCTCTACGTCTTTCTCTCTATTTGCACGGCTCTATGTTTTTCTGTTTGCACGGATCTATGTCTTTCTATTTGCACGGCTCTATGTCTTTCTGTTTGCACAGCTCTATGTCTTTCTATTTGCACGGCTCTATGTTTTTCTGTTTGCACGGATCTATGTCTTTCTCTCTGTTTGCACGGATCTATGTCTTTCTATTTGCACGGCTCTACGTCTCTCTATTTGCACGGCTCTACGTCTTTCTCTCTATTTGCACGGCTCTATGTCTTTCTATTTGCACGGCTCTATGTCTTTCTATTTGCACGGCTCTACGTCTCTCTATTTGCACGGCTCTACGTCTTTCTCTCTATTTGCACGGCTCTATGTCTTTCTGTTTGCACAGCTCTATGTCTTTCTATTTGCACGGCTCTATGTCTTTCTATTTGCACGGCTCTACGTCTCTCTATTTGCACGGCTCTACGTCTTTCTCTCTATTTGCACGGCTCTACGTCTTTCTGTTTGCACAGCTCTATGTCTTTCTATTTGCACGGCTCTATGTCTTTCTATTTGCACGGCTCTACGTCTCTCTATTTGCACGGCTCTACGTCTTTCTCTCTATTTGCACGGCTCTATGTCTTTCTGTTTGCACAGCTCTATGTCTTTCTATTTGCACGGCTCTATGTCTTTCTATTTGCACGGCTCTACGTCTTTCTCTCTATTTGCACGGCTCTATGTCTTTCTGTTTGCACAGCTCTATGTCTTTCTATTTGCACAGCTCTATGTCTTTCTATTTGCACGGCTCTATGTCTTTCTATTTGCACGGCTCTACGTCTCTCTATTTGCACGGCTCTACGTCTTTCTCTCTATTTGCACGGCTCTATGTCTTTCTATTTGCACGGCTCTATGTCTTTCTATTTGCACGGCTCTATGTCTTTCTATTTGCACAGCTCTATGTCTTTCTATTTGCACGGCTCTATGTCTTTCTATTTGCACGGCTCTACGTCTCTCTATTTGTACGGCTCTACGTCTTTCTCTCTATTTGCACGGCTCTATGTCTTTCTGTTTGCACAGCTCTATGTCTTTCTATTTGCACGGCTCTATGTCTCTCTATTTGCACGGCTCTATGTCTCTCTATTTGCACGGCTCTATGTCTCTCTATTTGCACGGCTCTATGTCTCTCTATTTGCACAGCTCTAAGTCTTTCTATTTGCACGGCTCTACGTCTTTCTTTCTATTTGCACGGCTCTATGTCTTTCTCTCTATTTGCACGGCTCTACGTCGTTCTCTCTATTTGCACGGCTCTACGTCTTTCTCTCTATTTCCACAGCTCTATGTCTTTCTATTTGCACGGCTCTAAGTCTCTCTATTTGCACGGCTCTATATCTTTCTATTTCCACAGCTCTATGTCTTTCTATTTGCACGGCTCTAAGTCTCTCTATTTGCACGGCTCTATGTCTTTCTATTTGCACGGCTCTAAGTCTCTCTATTTGCACGGCTCTATGTCTTTCTATTTGCACGGCTCTAAGTCTCTCTATTTGCACGGCTCTACGTCTTTCTTTCTATTTGCACGGCTCTACGTCTTTCTCTCTATTTGCACGGCTCTACGTCTTTCTCTCTATATGCACGGCTCTACGTCTTTCTCTCTATTTGCACGGCTCTACGTCTTTCTCTCTATTTGCACGGCTCTATGTTTTTCTGTTTGCACAGCTCTACGTCTTTCTCTCTGTTTGCACGGCTCTACGTCTTTCTCTCTATTTGCACGGCTCTATGTTTTTCTGTTTGCACGGATCTATGTCTTTCTATTTGCACGGCTCTATGTCTTTCTGTTTGCACAGCTCTATGTCTTTCTATTTGCACGGCTCTATGTTTTTCTGTTTGCACGGATCTATGTCTTTCTCTCTGTTTGCACGGATCTATGTCTTTCTATTTGCACGGCTCTACGTCTCTCTATTTGCACGGCTCTACGTCTTTCTCTCTATTTGCACGGCTCTATGTCTTTCTATTTGCACGGCTCTATGTCTTTCTATTTGCACGGCTCTACGTCTCTCTATTTGCACGGCTCTACGTCTTTCTCTCTATTTGCACGGCTCTATGTCTTTCTGTTTGCACAGCTCTATGTCTTTCTATTTGCACGGCTCTATGTCTTTCTATTTGCACGGCTCTACGTCTCTCTATTTGCACGGCTCTACGTCTTTCTCTCTATTTGCACGGCTCTATGTCTTTCTGTTTGCACAGCTCTATGTCTTTCTATTTGCACGGCTCTATGTCTTTCTATTTGCACGGCTCTACGTCTCTCTATTTGCACGGCTCTACGTCTTTCTCTCTATTTGCACGGCTCTATGTCTTTCTGTTTGCACAGCTCTATGTCTTTCTATTTGCACGGCTCTATGTCTTTCTATTTGCACGGCTCTACGTCTTTCTCTCTATTTGCACGGCTCTATGTCTTTCTGTTTGCACAGCTCTATGTCTTTCTATTTGCACGGCTCTATGTCTTTCTATTTGCACGGCTCTACGTCTTTCTCTCTATTTGCACGGCTCTATGTCTTTCTGTTTGCACAGCTCTATGTCTTTCTATTTGCACAGCTCTATGTCTTTCTATTTGCACGGCTCTATGTCTTTCTATTTGCACGGCTCTACGTCTCTCTATTTGCACGGCTCTACGTCTTTCTCTCTATTTGCACGGCTCTATGTCTTTCTATTTGCACGGCTCTATGTCTTTCTATTTGCACGGCTCTACGTCTCTCTATTTGTACGGCTCTACGTCTTTCTCTCTATTTGCACGGCTCTATGTCTTTCTGTTTGCACAGCTCTATGTCTTTCTATTTGCACGGCTCTATGTCTCTCTATTTGCACGGCTCTATGTCTCTCTATTTGCACGGCTCTATGTCTCTCTATTTGCACGGCTCTATGTCTCTCTATTTGCACGGCTCTATGTCTCTCTATTTGCACAGCTCTAAGTCTTTCTATTTGCACGGCTCTACGTCTTTCTTTCTATTTGCACGGCTCTATGTCTTTCTCTCTATTTGCACGGCTCTACGTCGTTCTCTCTATTTGCACGGCTCTACGTCTTTCTATTTCCACAGCTCTATGTCTTTCTATTTGCACGGCTCTAAGTCTCTCTATTTGCACGGCTCTATATCTTTCTATTTCCACAGCTCTATGTCTTTCTATTTGCACGGCTCTACGTCTTTCTCTCTATTTGCACGGCTCTATGTCTTTCTGTTTGCACAGCTCTATGTCTTTCTATTTGCACGGCTCTATGTCTTTCTATTTGCACGGCTCTACGTCTTTCTCTCTATTTGCACGGCTCTATGTCTTTCTGTTTGCACAGCTCTATGTCTTTCTATTTGCACAGCTCTATGTCTTTCTATTTGCACGGCTCTATGTCTTTCTATTTGCACGGCTCTACGTCTCTCTATTTGCACGGCTCTACGTCTTTCTCTCTATTTGCACGGCTCTATGTCTTTCTATTTGCACGGCTCTATGTCTTTCTATTTGCACGGCTCTACGTCTCTCTATTTGTACGGCTCTACGTCTTTCTCTCTATTTGCACGGCTCTATGTCTTTCTGTTTGCACAGCTCTATGTCTTTCTATTTGCACGGCTCTATGTCTCTCTATTTGCACGGCTCTATGTCTCTCTATTTGCACGGCTCTATGTCTCTCTATTTGCACGGCTCTATGTCTCTCTATTTGCACGGCTCTATGTCTCTCTATTTGCACAGCTCTAAGTCTTTCTATTTGCACGGCTCTACGTCTTTCTTTCTATTTGCACGGCTCTATGTCTTTCTCTCTATTTGCACGGCTCTACGTCGTTCTCTCTATTTGCACGGCTCTACGTCTTTCTATTTCCACAGCTCTATGTCTTTCTATTTGCACGGCTCTAAGTCTCTCTATTTGCACGGCTCTATATCTTTCTATTTCCACAGCTCTATGTCTTTCTATTTGCACGGCTCTAAGTCTCTCTATTTGCACGGCTCTATGTCTTTCTATTTGCACGGCTCTATGTCTTTCTGTTTGCACAGCTCTATGTCTTTCTATTTGCACAGCTCTATGTCTTTCTATTTGCACGGCTCTATGTCTTTCTATTTGCACGGCTCTACGTCTCTCTATTTGCACGGCTCTACGTCTTTCTCTCTATTTGCACGGCTCTATGTCTTTCTATTTGCACGGCTCTATGTCTTTCTATTTGCACGGCTCTACGTCTCTCTATTTGTACGGCTCTACGTCTTTCTCTCTATTTGCACGGCTCTATGTCTTTCTGTTTGCACGGCTCTATGTCTTTCTATTTGCACGGCTCTAAGTCTTTCTATTTGCACGGCTCTACGTCTCTCTATTTGCACGGCTCTACGTCGTTCTCTCTATTTGCACGGCTCTATGTCTTTCTATTTCCACAGCTCTATGTCTTTCTATTTGCACGGCTCTAAGTCTCTCTATTTGCACGGCTCTATATCTTTCTATTTCCACAGCTCTATGTCTTTCTATTTGCACGGCTCTAAGTCTCTCTATTTGCACGGCTCTATGTCTTTCTATTTGCACGGCTCTAAGTCTCTCTATTTGCACGGCTCTACGTCTTTCTCCGGTTCCTCTGCGTTTATTTCTTCCTCTCTGCTTCACAGACACATAATCCAGGAGGACCTGAGCAGCGCCACCTTCTGGCTGAGGGCCAGTGTGGGGGCCACGGTGTTTGCAGTGCTGGGCGTCGCTCTGTTCAGGGCGCTGCTGAAGACGCGCTGATCCTCAGCTGCCACCCCTGTTACCACGGTAACTGACGGAGCCAACGTTGGACGATCTGATGCGTTTAGATGATGCTTCCTGTTTGGTTTGTGGGATTAGATGCAATCAAAAACAAACCAACTTATTTTCCTGATTCTTCTTGCCGTTTCTCTTGTAGATACAATATTTATTTTGTAAGAATGTGCTAATTTGATTCATCTGATTAAAAAGTAAAGATGATATATTTATATTTCTATAAAAGTCTAATTAAGCTGCTGCTAAGCAGCATAAAGCTTACAGATTGGTATGAATGAATGATATTATAGCTTCTAGGGTCGTTAAATGCAGCATCTGAACAGATGTTTAATGCAGATGTTTTATTTTCTGCTCGTAGACCAATGCTAACATTTCTCTCTGTTTCACTGAGTTTCACTTTTTATGCAAAAGAAAAAGACAAACCTCACTGCTCTTTTTCTGCATTTCTCCGTTTAATTCAAACGTATGCATGTCCTTCTCTACTTAAGGAAATCAGAACACTCTGTTAGCATGCCAGTTTTTGTTTTTTTTATTGATAAAAACATCAATATTCAGCTGTTTATAAATTAATATTATTGAGCTTTAAGGGTGGAGAGTTGGTAAAGAACTTCCACCATTTTTCTCATTTCCACTAAAGGCCGTTAAATTGTTGCCGTATGCATCCCTCTGCTCGATGTCCTGAACGTTTGCAATAAATGATGTTCTATAATCTGCTGGGATTAACGCTCTTCTTTCTGCTGCATCATCTAATGAACCAAATCTGCTTCATTTTTATTTGGTCATCTGGAATCAGCTCCTTCTTCTGGGGCTGATCTAGAAACCAGTGTTTTATACACAAGGTGGCAGCATTGCTTGAGGAAACGTAGCACACATGCAGCCATGCTGAAGAAATCAGAAGGTAATAAACAGGAACTTCTATTCAGTCTATTTCTATAGCTCCAATTCACATCATGTCATCTCAGGTCACTTTCCAGTTCACCAGATCATCCAGTCAGATTGATTCAAAGTTTTCTATCTAAGGAAAACCAGCTGATTGCATCGACTCATTGACTCTTCAGCAATCCCTCACACTAAGCATGCTTGTAGCGACAGTGGAGAGGAAAAACTCCCTTTGAACAGGAAGAAACCTCCAGCAGAACCAAACCTGGGGTTCAAGGAAACTGATCAACTCATTTATTATAAATAATGTTTTAGTGCCTTTATCTCTCTACCAAACGTCGGGTAACAATGCTTTTAGAGGCAAGGATGCATTTTTGTCTTGTCTCTAAGGGTAAGGCGCCTGTGTTAAAGGTATGTACAGTATGGATATGTGTGGAGCTGAATGATGAATATCACCTGGATCTGCTCTGGGGCTGTTTGATTCAGAGAGAGGCTAAGGCTGGGTGCCAATATTCCTGCTGACCACAAGTTTAAAGCTAAATAAGTCTGCAAATCTACCTGTTGTCCAACGCTTGACAGAAAAAGGTACAATAAACATCCCTAACTGCAGTAAAGCTTTACGTTTCCTCCTTGGATTCAGCGCATCGAACAGATGCCTGCGTTCCTCTCTGTGACTCGTTTTTGGATGATAGTGACCCACATTGACAACAGAAAGGGCAAAAGATCAAACACTTTGATGGAATTGTGCACGTGAGACAATGGACCAGTCAGCCATTTTTGACGCAAACTGTGAGTAAATGTGAATAAAAGACGGAGCAAAGCACAACCTGTGGTATGTTGGATTCAGTTTATTCATACTGTGAAGATCTGTTTTGGACACAGTTGATGCTGTTACCTCTGCGTATTTGGATACTTGGATGCAATGTTGGATTGTTCATGTATGGATGCAGATTTATGACAGAAAACACAACCCTGTTTGATCTGAAACCTGCTTTCTGAAATTCTGTGTTGCATTCTTTGCTGGGCATCAATAGGAATGAATCAAAAACTGGTTTACAAGTAAATGACACTCATTGCAATGAAGTTGTTAAAAGGCAAACTTTTCCCACTGAAACGGCCTTGATCTGGAAAATAGAAACACTGCAGAAAGAACGGCAAGCAAGAGTGAATAAAATAAAAGGCCTGATCACTGCTTTAAAGGAGCTCATAGAGAGAAATGATGATGTTTCTCAGGTAGAAACTCAGTCGGACAAGTTGATGCATTTGCATGAGGAGACAATTTCTCTGCATGAGTCGCTGATGGAAATAATTCCTCAGGAGGAAAAGGTGTGGTTCGAAAGTATCAATAAATATAACAAAGGATTTATTAAAGATGTAAAATAATGGATCTCTGAAATAAATGCACCATCCTTAAGACACACAACAAATGATGCTGTGGCTGGTAAACAAAACAAGTTGCCATACAAGCAGGGGCGGATCTAGAAAAATATTTATGGGGTGGCGAGAGGGGGGCAGGAATTTTTGAGGGGTGGCAACATATGGCAGTTTTTTTTTTTTACACTGAATTTAATCACAGTTATCACAGTTTGGTGTTTCATGTGAAACAGTTCATATTGGTAATACATCGTACAATGAGATCTCACTTAATAGGAGATAGAAGAATGATAACACTACTTCTAGAGGGGCCTTATCACAGGAAAGGTATTAAGGTAAGACACAGGTGCTGAGTCGCAGATGTGTGAGATTGACTGTCAGAGAGGCAGCTTTGCAGCATTTGACCAAGAAGAAACTATAGAAAGAAAAAGTTCCCCATCAGAGATCTATGGACTGAGCTGGACTAAAGTGAGCAGAACTACACAGTAGAAATAAACGGGTCAAGGCACCCGAACAAGGTACCAGACATCTATGTAATGTTTACTCTGAACACAGATTCACCCCATTTGTTCCTCAGTAACGTGACATACAGCAGTTAAGGCAACATGAAAGGGACATTTCATGTATGTAGATCTGCTGTAGATAGATCTGCTGTATCAAAAAGGCAGGTACTGGATGTTACAGCAAAATCTACACTGATCTGAAAAGAAGCAACATAAAAATAAATTTTGCTTCCAGTCTGAAAAGTATAAAACATTTATTGAGTAGGTTCATACAGGTCATTTCTGGATAGTTTCATACTATATATACAAAAAAAGAAACAACAACACTGCTAACCCTAACCCTAGTTGACCGCAAATATGTCTTTCTGAGGCTGAGACGTCAGGCCTAACTAACATCATAGATAGAGAAATAACGTTCTGCAACCTGATTTTTATCATCTCAAAATCAGCATTGCAGCTATGCTAGCAACATTGTGCTTTCATTATGATTTCATTTCTCGATAGATAGTTAATCAGTTTTTACCTGTTTCATCCCGTGTCTCCTCCCCCCATCACCCCTGGCTCCCTCGCTTTGCCCCATTCGGTTTTCAAAACAATCAGTCTCAGTCGCTCTCGCGTCATCTCGTGCTGCATTCACTGCAGTCCGACATTGGAAATTAGCGGTCGTAATTCTCAAATTATCCATAATTTATAAGCCTCGCCACCCCTACCGCCAACTGCAGCTGGGGTGGCAAGGCTGTCATTTAGGGTGGCATAGGGGGGCATTTGCCACCCTATGCCACCCAGTAGATCCGCCTATGCATACAAGCTAAGAGACAAATGGAGGTCAGTAGGATGTGATGTTCAGGAAACAAGCCACAACAGGGGCCACAACAGGAGCCACAACAGGGGCCACAACAGGGGCCACAACAGGAGCCACAACAGGAGCCACAACAGGAGCCACAACAGGGGCCACAACAGGAGCCACAACAGGGGCCACAACAGGGGCCACAACAGGGGCCACAACAGGGGCCACAACAGGGGCCACAACAGGAGCCACAACAGGAGCCACAACAGGAGCCACAACAGGAGCCACAACAGGAGCCACAACAGGGGCCACAACAGGGGCCACAACAGGGGCCACAACAGGAGCCACAACAGGGGCCACAACAGGAGCCACAACAGGGGCCACAACAGGGGCCACAACAGGGGCCACAACAGGAGCCACAACAGGAGCCACAACAGGAGCCACAACAGGGGCCACAACAGGAGCCACAACAGGGGCCACAACAGGAGCCACAACAGGAGCCACAACAGGGGCCACAACAGGGGCCACAACAGGGGCCACAACAGGGGCCACAACAGGAGCCACAACAGGGGCCACAACAGGGGCCTCAACAGGAGCCACAACAGGGGCCACAACAGGGGCCACAACAGGAGCCACAACAGGGGCCACAACAGGAGCCACAACAGGGGCCACAACAGGGGCCACAACAGGGGCCACAACAGGAGCCACAACAGGAGCCACAACAGGAGCCACAACAGGGGCCACAACAGGAGCCACAACAGGGGCCACAACAGGGGCCACAACAGGGGCCACAACAGGAGCCACAACAGGGGCCACAACAGGGGCCACAACAGGAGCCACAACAGGAGCCACAACAGGAGCCACAACAGGGGCCACAACAGGAGCCACAACAGGGGCCACAACAGGGGCCACAACAGGGGCCACAACAGGAGCCACAACAGGGGCCACAACAGGGGCCACAACAGGGGCCACAACAGGAGCCACAACAGGAGCCACAACAGGAGCCACAACAGGGGCCACAACAGGAGCCACAACAGGGGCCACAACAGGGGCCACAACAGGGGCCACAACAGGAGCCACAACAGGGGCCACAACAGGGGCCACAACAGGGGCCACAACAGGAGCCACAACAGGGGCCACAACAGGAGCCACAAAAGGGGCCACAACAGGAGCCACAACAGGGGCCACAACAGGAGCCACAACAGGGGCCACAACAGGAGCCACAACAGGAGCCACAACAGGGGCCACAACAGGAGCCACAACAGGAGCCACAACAGGGGCCACAACAGGAGCCACAACAGGGGCCACAACAGGGGCCACAACAGGAGCCACAACAGGGGCCACAACAGGGGCCACAACAGGAGCCACAACAGGAGCCACAACAGGAGCCACAACAGGAGCCACAACAGGGGCCACAACAGGAGCCACAACAGGGGCCACAACAGGGGCCACAACAGGGGCCACAACAGGAGCCACAACAGGGGCCACAACAGGAGCCACAACAGGGGCAACAACAGGGGCCCCAACAGGAGCCACAAAAGGAGCCATAACAGGGGCCACAACAGGGGCCCCAACAGGGGCCACAACAGGAGCCACAACAGGGGCCACAACAGGAGCCACAACAGGGGCCCCAACAGGAGCCACAAAAGGAGCCATAACAGGGGCCACAACAGGGGCCACAACAGGAGCCACAACAGGGGCCACAACAGGAGCCACAACAGGGGCCTCAACAGGAGCCACAACAGGGGCCACAAAAGGGGCCACAACAGGAGCCACAACAGGAGCCACAACAGGAGCCACAACAGGGGGCACAACAGGGGCCACAACAGGGGCCACAACAGGAGCCACAACAGGGGCCACAACAGGGGCCACAACAAGAGCCACAACAGGGGCCACAACAGGAGCCACAACAGGGGCCACAACAGGAGCCACAACAGGGGCCACAACAGGGGCCACAACAGGGGCCACAACAGGAGCCACAACAGGGGCCACAACAGGAGCCACAACAGGGGCAACAACAGGGGCAACAACAGGGGCCCCAACAGGAGCCACAAAAGGAGCCATAACAGGGGCCACAACAGGGGCCCCAACAGGGGCCACAACAGGAGCAACAACAGGGGCCACAACAGGAGCCACAACAGGGGCCACAACAGGGGCCACAACAGGAGCCACAACA